CACATATGGAATGGAATGTTGATTTGGGACTTGACTTTTGAGCTCTCTATTATTGTTACCTCTGTTTGGATTGGTGCAAATTTTGGGTTTTAAATTTTGGGCTTTAAATGGCTCGGCTTTGGGCTTTTGTTGGTGCTCGGTTTTCATTTCAGGAGTATGGGACGTCGGTTTCTGTGGAAACTTGAGTCTTGGCTTTTATTGAGATGTTAGAGCTCTCTTCCTGGCTTTAAGGGCTCTTGTGTTTTAGCCCTGCTGCACTTTGTTTGGCCTCTACTGGACTTGGATTAGCTCTAGTTGAGGGCTGGCTTTGGCTTTGGTTCTTGGTTGAGCTTGGTTTGGCTCTAGATGGGGAGCTGTGTTGGTTTAGTTTAGCCTTGCTGGGCTCGGTTTTGCTCTAGTATGGGCTGTGTTTGCTTTGTTTGGCCTCTACTGGATTTGGATTGGCTCTAAGGTGGGGGTTGTCTTTGCTTGTTTTAGCCTTGTTGAGCTCGGCTTTGGCTTTGTTTCTTGTTGGGCTCGGTTTGGCTTTGATTGAGGGCTGTGTTGCTTTGATCAGCCTTTACCCGAAGAGTGGTTGGGAGATGGCTTTGTTGGCTTTGGTTCCTACTCCTACCCGTGAGACCGATTGAAATTCCTTGAGTTTAGTTTATCCCCTCTTGTTGAGTTTGAATCTTTTGAATGATTATAGGGGAGGTGGCTTTGGTTCCTACTCCTTACCCGTGAGGTCTATTGCAGGTCTTTGGGTGTGATTTGGCTTTCTCTGCTAGGCTTGGATTGTCTTGAGAGTTGTGGATGAATCAAGTTTGCCATCCAAAAAAAATTATAATTATTTTAGTTATCCTTTCAGTTTGTCAGGGAAGCATAATCGCCTTTGGTGGTCCTTTTGTTGGCTTTGGTCGCGAGCCCCTTGTGCTTTGGATATGGGCTTTTGCAGCTGTTCTTTGCTGCCTTAAACCGTGAGCTTTATTAGTTCTTTTTGGGCCCCTTTGTTGCCTTAACTGTAAGCCTTACTTGTTGTCTTTTAGACTGCCTTTGGTTATGGATCTTGGTAGTCATTCCTTGCTCTAGCCGTGAGCCCCTCCAGTCCCCATTCCTGGTTTTAGCCGAGGGCCTCATTGGTTGTTTCCCCTTCTGTGCCTCGGTTTTGCCTTGGCCGTGAGTCCTACATGCTGTTCAGCTCTTCGTAATGATCACAATCGTGAGCATTTATACGATTTCACGGGAAGATTTCTATGATTGTTCGATATGTAAGGTTGTGGATTAATTCAGAAGTTGGAAGTCAGAAAATTTTGATATCAACTTTGGGATTTGGGGAGGATTTGCAAGCTTTATCTGGGAGAGTATTTGATTGATTTGATT